CACAAAATAAGGGTATATCAATTATGCCAGTATATAGTATATATAAGAACAGTGATATTCATGCTTCAGCCCCTTCACAAAAAGAAAAACTAAGTATTATTTAGTAAAGCAAAGTAGAATAAAGTGCACAATAGAATTCAGACCACTCTCTTACAGGCTAGCAAATAAATAAGCCTAAAACTAAATGCAGACAAAACTAAATACATGGGCATAATATGAGATCAACATCAGCAATGATGGCAGAACATAATTATAAGTAACACATGATTTGAAGATTAAGGGAGTTAATTAGTTAATCATACAATTCAGACACTACCTCGGGTCCTACGGTCTCCCTGAAGTGCAGATTTGGTTCATATTGGCAGTATAATTCTAGGACAATTTTCTCTGCCAACTTCTGGTCACAGCTTTTCAAACCTCGACCCCTCTGTTATGCCGCTGGGCTGGGAGGAGCATCATTTATTTCCTTAAGACTGGTACACAGCAGACACTGCCACATTTCACTTTCCCTGCCAATCAGATGTCATGTACACTGAAGGATGCTGCCCAAAATTCAACAGATATTAAAATAAAAATGAAAGGTCTCCATAAAAAAATTGGGAGCAACCAAAATAAAATAAAAGACAAACATGTATAGTAGCCTCAGTACGGTTCCGTGGCTTATACCATTAACGTGTGTGTCACTGCCAAGATTAGCAACCCTTTCCAGAGTTGGGACATAACCAGTTAACACAAAATAAGATTTTCACAGCAACAGAACATGCTGAAGAATGCCATATTAACTTCATGCACACAGGACTACCAGTCTGAGTGCAAAGGATATCTGTTCCGTAAAACATACTACAATGAACTTCACATGTAGCAAGACAGTGCCTGAATAAACACACATTTTCCATGTGTCATTATAACAAGAATGGTGAAAAGATATAGTGCTAACAACTTAATTGATGCTTATTTATTTAATGATGCTACGTTGCATCAAGTAAGAAGGGATTATGCTCATGACTGGAATTAGGCAGTAAATTTACTCCATGGTGAGACTGAGTAAAATCGTGTAGAATCTGTCACAATACCCATTAACTCAGCTGTGCCTCAGACTGGGTAAGTCCAGAGTATAAATACAGACAAAGATTGAACACTGTACAAATATTTTCTACTGCAATGGCACACACATATTTTCAAAATTAATTCTTTATAATTTCTGTAAATGCCTTGATTGCTTCAAAGGTAAAATATAGCACCAATATGACACTGTATAAGACATGAATGCTTTTTCATAATGTTTTGTAAGTATGCACTTCATGCAAAGAACATGTAAAATACTGTAAAAATGATGCCTCCTTATTTCAGCAAATAATATCGTATCATATTTCAGTTTCCAGTGGAATATTCAATATGCAACATGCATTTTACCTGCGTAGTTCATACTTTAAATACTTCCAAATAATGGCACTCTGTATTAGTTATTATGCAGAGAAAGGATTTAGAGAAGCATTCTACTGCTTTAACTTCATCTTCCTAAAACTGCAGTACAGATCTGTCTGAACAGTAATATTACTCACGCAAATGCAAACTACTATACTCTAACAAAACAATGACTTAAACAAAACAGCATTCATGCTAGCCTCTTCAAGAATTAAAAGCTTAAATTATAATTTCACAGTGGTTTGCTTGCTTTGTAAGGCATGCACATAATGAAACCAATACAAGCTCAGAGTAAAAATTCAGTTATGTAAATAGTATCACAGGTACACAGAAACTGAGTTCAGTATTTAAATTCTTGCAGAATGTATCAATATTGTGCTTCTCAACATCTGTAGTTGCTGCAAAAATAAATCCATACTTACTTTACAGTAATCATAATAAAAAGAGTTACTTTTAGTTTGGACATGATCAAAAAACACATTTTTGTATGCACTGACAGTTTACTGTAGAAAATCTATATGAGTAGTCTGTACAATTAACATTTTCTAAAATCAACACACATACACAGGTGCTCTGCTAAAACACATTCCGCTTAGTCTATGTGGCCCTTCCAAATAAATGGCAACCTTCCAAAACTATCACACAGGCAGCCAAATGTTTGGCTTCAAGACAGGGCCCCATTATAAAGATTTTGGTGCTATCAGGGATCACCAATACATTGTCATTAACAAGATCACAAATATTTATTAATATGTACAGTATTTGAGAGGTATCTCTCCATAACTGGGAACAGTGCAAAGCTGAAAGACTTACTCTGGAATGGCTTTGAGTTTTGGGATGTGGCAGTATGTATGAAACGATTTTGGACACTTGTCACAGCATACCACCTTTCCCCCATCCATGCAAACTGCACACCAGTCCTCATTGGGATCATCTTTCTGTGTCTCCCCTCCATTCTTGGCATGTTCTGAAGAACAAATAATATTAAATGAGATATGAATATCTAACATCAATAAAAATGTCACTTGGGGTCTTCTAGATTGTGATGCTACATACACTCCAGAAAACCCTGAACATGGCAAATATATGTTCCACCAAAAAGTTGGTAACTATTTGAAAGAGCACATGGAATTACAACACAGTGGACCACACGTGATGAATTATGATGCCAAATGCTGACACAGAAGAAATCATCAGTTCCAGGTGCTTTCTTCTGTGACTGTTCAAAAGCAACATTTTGAGGTAACCCCATACATTCAATGCTCCCCATCTATAAGCATTGAACCTGGATGTGGCACAGACAAGTGGGACGGACCAGGTCTCTCATCAAGCCCTGTTGAACTGTCCACCAAAGGTGAATCACCAGCCCCCAAGGTTTTCTCGCCTTCTGGAACTACTTCAATTTCATTACGATCCAACTTCGCTATGGTTGCCACAAGACTCATTCCTGGGTCCTCAACTCTCGCTTGGCTTCGACTTGGAGTTTTGGGTACAGATGAGGTCACATGCCCACCAGGCACTTTAATTAAAGCATCTCCAGCCATGCTGATTGAAGGAGCAGGAGCTGGTGCTGCCCTCTGTACTGACTGTTGCTGTTGCTCTGGTACTTGTTTAAGAGTTATCTTAGGGCTTTGTACCCCGGCATGTAGGCCAGGCCTCATGCTAGGGTTGGTGAACATTACAGCATGAGGTGATATTCTTGCCTGTTGCTGCTGCTGCTGCTGCTGTTGTTAAAAACCCAAATAAAAATAATACTAGTAAAAAACAAACCATTAGACGGGCCAGAACAGCTTAAAAAAAATTTATAAATGATCACAAGACTTTAAGAATGAAATTCTTAAGTTCCACTCTACCATATGCAACATAAAAAGAAACAAGCTAGTCATATCAGCTACTATTAAACAGCAGGTGAGAAAGAAAGGGAAAATTAATCTGTAACAGAAGACTACAAATAGTCATACCACAGCAAAGATGCAAAGCATATTCACACACACACACACACACACACATACAGCAAAAAGAAAAATACAAGGAATTGTACCAAATCAAATACAAAAGAATTTTTTAAATGTGCTTCATTTCAAGCACATTTCCAAGTTTGAAGTGCACATGAGGCAACATTTATACAATAATAACTTAATTATAATATTTCCATCATGCATGGTATTGCATGACATCATAAATTTCATTCCTATGAAATTCCAATTGTAGAAATACCTCTACTGTTAACAGCAGCATAATGCATGAAAAACTAGTAATACCTTATTTCATATTTGTCAAGATAAACAATATTTACTATGTACAGCTTACTGCATCTTTCTTCTTGTGATTACTTCCATGTGCAATGAAATGAACTGACATTCTAAAGTAACACATATGGAAAATAGTATTATACATAATTTTGTTTTAATACACGGTTTTCTTCCATGACACAAGGTTCTCCTTCAGCAGCTCAAGAAATTATCCTATCTTATGGAACATAAAGGCAAATGTGTCAACATTTCTGTTCACCAATAATGATATAATGACCAACCCATTCCTTACTAGCATTGCAAATGAAACTGTACAGGATGAGTATAAGGAATCCCCTGTCCTTGAGACAAACAGGCTTATCTATCAAGACCTCACCTGCTGTGGTGGTTGTTGTTGTTGCTGCTGCTGTTGTAGTTGGTGACCTGAGCCTATGGCAACACCTGGAGACGTGTATACATGGCCATCGACTACAATACCACCAATATTTGACACAACTGAAATGTAATAAAATTTTACATATAAAAGACAAGAATACACAAATATTTAATACAATAACACTTCATAAGTACAACGTCAAGGAACAAAACAATGGTGGGCCAGTTAGCCACGAGTACAGAGAAAGAAGCAGTATCTGATTTCATGACAAAGCGAAGCAATCTGTTTTCTACATTCTTGTCATCAGTAACCGTCATTTCAGGCTCCTTCCCTTCAAACTATTTTACTTGTTCTTTTAACAACATATATTCCCTCATCTTTACTTTACCTTCAATCAGATCATTCACTTGGTTCATAGATACTGAAATATTGACTGGTACTTCAGCATCTGAAATATCAGCTCTTACAGTCTTGATCTTCTGAAGTCGATCTGCAACATACCTACATAAAAATAATAAACACATAATTATAAAAGCTTTTATAACTGGCAAAATTTATTACTCTTTAAAGAATTGGGCTTTGTAGGTTCAAAACAATTATAACTAATCTGTAATTTACTCTATAAAATTATTATTATTGACCTGAAAATTTCTTCAACAAATAGTTCAGGTTGCAAGAAATATTATGCCGAATGCAAAGTTGAAGGTCCATTTGTTCAGATTTTATGATTTTACAGTATAACAATCACACAAAATTTAGAGACACATGAAACAGATCAAATTTCACATTCTCATGGCAACTTGTATGAAGATGGTTGTCTTTTCAGACATTAGCATGATGAAGTCCTCTGAAACAAGTCAGTATCTACCAGACTACATGGTACAACACCCCAGAAGATAGTAATCTTCATATTTATAACAAAATTACTATATAAATTCCATATTTCAGGTTACTCACAACCACACTCACCATGACAGGTTGTATTCCTTTAACTTAACAAATATATCTGTACATATAGCAAATTACAATGTACCCTTTCCTGTTGACTACATCCAAGTCACTGCCCTTGTTCACTTTGATAACAAAATCAATATAATCATCACTGAGACTGGATAGCTGTGCCAAATCAAATTTCTTCACACTCAGTGTCCTCTGTTGGGCAGAACAGACTTCACTGAGTTGGAGAATCAGCTGCTTTCGTCTGGTAATGATTGCGTCAGCCAACCTGAAATTAAAATTTTGTTCCTTGACACAGAATTTTCATATCATAATAAGACTTCACTAAAAAAGTACAAGCATACTCACTTCATAAACATGAATTTAATTTCATTCACCAGTGCCATCTTCTTTACTAGAAAATCAGACTGGTGATCATTAATCATCTTCATGGCCTTTGTGATTTGAACTCGTTTAGAGCTGTAAAGAAGAAAATCATTCTACTTCATCTGGCACTTTAAAATTCAACGTGCCATGTACTGATTTCATATCAGCATATTTTCTGTTGAGAAGAGATGCTGAAATACTTGACCCTAATTTCCAACTATTACTAGAAAAGTAGAATGAAAATACTCACATGTTATGTTAACTTCCTGCAAAAATTAATAACAGTGCAAAAGAACAATCAAATTCTTTGATTAAAATGAACAATAGAATTTATAATAGATAATAAGCTTAATTTTCATCAGTTGCATCAATGAACTTTACAAGATATCAGTTACAACTTGCACAACACAACATCCCAACTTCTATTACACAGAAAAAAGTAAGTGTGCTGCACTATGCATCACCTAAAGGGAAAAAACAGTTAATTTAATCATTAGATCAAGACTTCAAGCACATTCAAGATGTTTCAGAAGCAAACTGAAATAAACAGTGAAAAAATAAATCATGTTTTGATGCACTGCCTAAGAGCGTATGTAACACATCCGCTGCCAAACATATCATAGTTTTACTGCCTAAGAGCGTATGTAACACATCCACTGCCAAACATATCATAGTTTTTTCCTTTTTCTTACCTTCCACTGTCAATGCTAAACATGTCCACCAATGTTTCTGTGTTAATGTACATGTACTTACTTAAAGGAAGAAGCATTCATAACCTTCCCACTAGATGAACAAGTGTGGCCAGCTTCATGCACTGGCCCTGGTTAGCCAGGAGATGAGTTGGTGGGTCGGTCCCAAACCATACAAAAATTTTATCTGAAGTGTTTGATTACTAATATTTCTAACATCAACATTTCCCAACAATTTTATTTTGAATTATTAAAATAATAAAGTCCTCAAAAAGTTACAGATTTGTTCTAAAACAAAAGACTGGCTGTAAGTAAAATGGCTGCTAGCTGGCATCAAGCATCATATTATTCATTTAATAGTCACTGTCATCAATTATGTACCTATTTCCAGCAAAATATTATGCATTGCACTTTCAAATATCAACAACATGCATCAACTACATTATCAAAAAATAATAGGCTATCTTCTGGGTTATATTACTGTGCAGTCTGGTAGAAGTTTAACAATTCACGCTAACAATAGAGGCAGCAAGGATCTCTGAAACTTTGGTAAGCTGCTACCAGACTACACTGTTCTACAACCCAGAAGACAGCCATATTTGTAGTCACTGTTGTGAGAACTACAAATCCTACTCAATAATTACCTTACTTCAGATAAAAGCTCATTTATCATATTCCTTATTTCCTCTGCCACCTCATGGATAAATTTGTGTGTATGACCACGGTGGCCAGCAAGCTGACAATTCTTACATGTAACCTCATTGCAGGTTTAGGGAAAGACTTTCCTGAAACATAGCAAGACAATAAATGTTGGAACTGAACTTGATGTAACAACTACAAATTATGCATTCAGAAAAACAAGATTACTTTTACAATATGCTGAATTAACCTGAGCAACTTCTGTCTCAGAAAATATAACTAAACTGACTGTTGCAATTGCAGAACGGTGTTGGTTGTAGAAACATTGTCAGATGTCGCTTACAGGATTCATCTTATTTCTCAGGACACAAAAAAGGTAAAAACACATACAAACAGAAGTAAAAATTTCACATCCACCAGTCCTTAAAAATAAAACAAATATATAATAAACGCATTTCTTCTTTACCTGCGGATGAATGGGGCAATTCTCGGGCACTCCATTACTTGCTGAGGCATTGTTTTCGTGTTGTGCCTCCTGTCTTGATTCCATTGAAACTTCTTGATGTGCCTATGTGAGGAAGAACAAAGCCATTAACATGGTGAGGATGTGGTCTTCTGGATGATATTGTGTAGTCTTGTAGGCAGAAACCAAAATTTTCATGGCATTACTTTAACTGAGTTAAAAAACCTCAAATTAAAACATTAAAGTAAGTAGTTCAAGATTTTATTTCACAAATGTATAGACGGTTTTCAAATAATGTGACTAGTCTGTATGAGCAAAAGCTATCAAATGTTAACAACAATTAACAAAATAAAGTCAAATCCGGTCTTCACAGTCACTGTTATACTTAAAACTACAAAACCTTTCAAAGCCAGGAATCGCCTGTTCTTGAGACAAACAGGCATATCTATCAAGACCTCACCTGCTGTGGTTGATGCTGCTGCTGCTGCTGCTGCTGCTGCTGATGCTGTTGTTGGTGGTGACCTGAGCCTATGGCAACACCTGGAGATGTGTAAACATGGCCATCGACAACAATACCACCAAAATTTGACACAATCGAAATGTAATAAAAATTTACATATAAAAGACAATACACAAATATTTAATACAATAACACTTCATAAGTACAACATCAACGAACAAAACAATGGTGGGCCAGTTAGCCACGAGTACATTTACGAGAACAAGTAAGTCGACATTTCATTCACATCATTAGGAGGAATCTACTTTGCTATGAAAAGATTAAAACTTTTTTTAGGTTAAAAACGACATGATACAGAGGTTATGTAGCGTTGACAAATGTGATACAGTATTTAGATTTCGTATCTTTACTATTTATTGGTTCCTGCAGTTAATAGTGGGCTCATAGGTTATTTATCAACACCAGTGGAATGTTGTGTGTGGTGGGAGCAGTGCTTTCTAATGGAGTAGGGTATATGTTATTGGTATTACATATTGCCAGAAAGGTTATAATTTAACATAATGTCTCACAGCTGAGGAACTGGATTTATTTCAGTGAGTTTACCTTTTTGTACAATATATTTCCATGTGTACATTTTGAACTGGCTAGTGCTACTGATAGTGTGTTGATACAAGAAAGAGATTTTGAATCAGAACCAGCAGTTGAAAACCATTTCATTGTATGATCACCTGCAGAAATTATTAATGCAGTCCTTTTAAATGTCATTGTTGTTTTGTTTCAGGTTGTTATTCTACATCATATGTTGTCTAAAGCATGTGTTAAAGCAAGACCGAATGTATTGTGGTGCTATAAGAAAGAGCTTGTCTTCAGTAGCCATCGAAAAAAGAGGATGGAAAGTCTCCAGCGTAAAATAAAGACGGGCAAAGTGAATGTAAATGAATATGATCCATTTGAATTATTTGTTGCATCTACAAACATTCGGTACTGTTACTATTCAGAAACACACAAAATACTTGGAAATACTTATGGTATGTGTTTGTGTTACAAGACTTTGAAGATTTGACTCCAAACCTGTTGGCAACAACAGTGGAGACAATTGAAGGTGGAGGACTGCAGACAGTGACTTCTTTGAAACAACTTTATGCCATGAGCTTGGATGTTCATGAACGCCATCGCACTGAAGCACACGGTGATGTTGTTGGATGCTTCAATGAACGGTACAAACAAATTCTTATATCATGTTATGTTGGTTGCACCCACTGCCTGTTGGGATTTTCATTCAGTATGTTGAAATCAAGTTCTTAGAAATGCTACTGTGGCCAGGAAGCATGATCAAGAAATTGCTGTTTGCTGGTGAACCCTTATATCCACTTTTAAGCTCAGACATTGGATGAAAACATTTCATTTTATCTAGTGATGGACAATTTCATTAAAATTTTAAGAGAAACCAAATGTTTTTTTTTTTTGGTTACATATTAGCTTAGACAAAAGAAACATAAAGGTTCTCAGAGCTCAAAATATTTCACTACATATTGTTTTTAAGTGACATAATATGTTCTGTTATAACGTTTTACTCAATGAAAACATCAAAAATATATAATAAGCAAACATGGAATTTTTACTCACGCAGGAAGGCAAGCCCCTGTGGACCTGCAGAGATGAAGTGCTCTAATATAAAATAAGAAATTACAGTTATGTATGCTGTAAACAGTTTTACTTTAATAGTGAAAAGTCCTGGACAGAGAAATGTTTCTGCCAAATACCAATGTTTTGAACTCTCTTAATCAATCTAGTGTCTTCACTTGTCCACCCACACCCATATTATACTCACATTTCCAAAACTACTGAGTGGACTTTGATGAAACTTGGAATATTAGAGTATATCTACAGTAATGATGTAAGGAAAATTTAATTTAACCCATACATTATACTGAATTCAGATCAATCTGTCATTTATCTAAAATACGGTTCATTGTAGAAAAGATCAGTATATGGCACAAAACAGATCTAATTAATGAATATGAAACATTTTTAATGTAAATATTTAACAAAAACAAGAAACTGACTCTGCAGAATGTTATTTGTAGTATCACCAACTTTAAACAAATGGTCAGTATCTGTAATAAATGGACATTATTTACAATGTGACATGAAAAATTACAAAAACCACATTTGGAAAATGACAACATACCAACTTCTTACCTCACAATCCAGAGACTGTTTGTTTAAAAGTATTCTTGCAACATGAGCTGAGATTTCTCATATTGTTCTGTAACCGTACAGTGACAATATTGGACGGAAGTTATTTGTCAGTGAATATAAAATTCTTTGTTAACTAGTCTATAAAGAGAGACTGAATGCCCGTTGTGCATTAACACACTAGAGCAATGAAATTGCAATTCGAATCTTTTGTAATCATTATCTTACTAAAAAGTTGTCAGTGGAACCACGGTTCCGGAGAATTTGACGTAAATACGTCTATATGGAAAGGAAGTTTATATATTGGCTTTATTCTAAATATTTCCTTTATACATGCTTTACAATTGAGATAAGTTTGATTAAGACATTGCTTATTTAACTTGAATTAGTTACGCTTAAGATGGGTCTGTGGTACCTGAATGTAATGAAATGTAATGTAAGGTAATGTAATGTATTGTAATGTAATGAAACGTAACGTAATGTAACGTTTTCTAGCTAACAACAATGCTGAGTAAACGGATGACGTTTCCTAGGTAACAAAAATGCTTGAATGCTTAACTTGAATTAGTTACGCTTAAGATGGGTCTGTGGTACATGAATGTAATGTAAAGTAATGCCAAGTAACGTTTCCTAGGTAACACAATAATGCCGAGTAAACAGACGACGTTCCCTAGGTAACCATTGTTATCGGATCTTTTTCGTTACACTTTTTTGCCGAATGACCCTTCCTTATAGACGTATTTACGTCAAAACATTATAAATTAACAAAAAATGTTACTGATTGTTGTAAAGTGCATAGTTAACATGCAAAAGACATCAGTAGCAAGACTCTCAACATCAAATTATTTTCAACATCTCTGGTTAAAGCCTTGAACCATAATTGCACATAGTCCACTTCTTACACGTTTAACAATTTCCATGTACAGGTAACGTTACACCACAAGGGGTCAGTCAAAGGAATATCACAGCACCAACATTTCATGAGACTTTCGTAGGATAAGAATACTTCTTATGTGAGTGTAGGTAGTAACATAAAGGAATTCCTATATAAATTATTATTTGCATAGTTCTTTATCTTTAAGGCATTTTCAAGGTTCTTTCCACATAATGTTCAGAAACACCAGCTCTAGTTAACGACAGCGCATTTAAGTTTATTGCCCACCCACACAGTTTTGTTTGTCACTGGGAGTCACATCTTCCACTACCACTGGGGGCATACAACTCACGTCATTCGACGATATTTCTTGTGGGGAGGTAAGTCAGTCTCATCACAATCTATAAGCATTGAACCTGGATATGGCACAGACAAGTGGGACGGACCAGGTCTCTCATCAAGCCCTGTTGAACTGTCCACCAAAGGTGAATCACCAGCCCCCAAGGTTTTCTCGCCTTCTGGAACTACTTCAATTTCATTACCATCCAACTTCCCTAAGGTTGCCTTCAGATCTTTAACAGCTTCCTAGGAATAACAAGTAACATTGTAACATCTGGAAAATGTAGTTTCCATTAATAAATGTTTTGTACATGCACAAAAAATTATAAAGTTTCAACTCTACCTGACAAAATTTAACAAGACTCATTCCTGGGTCCCTTCTGGAACTACTTCAATTTCATTACCATCCAACTTCCCTAAGGTTGCCTTCAGATCTTTAACAGCTTCCTAGGAATAACAAGTAACATTGTAACATCTGGAAAATGTATATCCGACCAATACATATTTGTACATGCACGAAAAATTATAAAGA